CTGCTGTAGACCTGACATCCTAAAAGCAGATTAGAACACAGCACACAGTAGGCGCTCAACACTGTTACTGCTGCTTGGTTGAAAAACACAAGTAGTTTTGATTTCTTTTCCATCTCTAAACTGTTTGGTGAGATTAACTTTCTTCCAACTTAATGTACAGCTGCACATTTACTATCTGGAAGCAAACCCGAGGCTGAAGTAGATCCAGTCTGCTTTGTGAATTAAATTTACAATAAAGTCAAAGACAGATGGCTAAGAGGAAACTTGAATCGTCTCTGATATTATTAAATCTTCTAGTTTGAGGCTCAGAGAGCCCAAGAAAATTTTCTTTGAATCCCTATGGGCTTTCTATTCCATAGATGAAGTTATAGAGCTGGCTTGAGAAGCAATTTTGTGCAATCATTTACCGAAGGGGAGGGGAAAAATCATTATAGTCCTTCAGAGGTTTGCAAGTAATAAGCATGTTATACTCTCCTCAGGCCCAGAAGAACTGCGTAGGTTTGATAAATAGCCACGTTTGGTCCGACTGCAGCTCTAAACAGATGTCTGTAAATATTGCAGAAAGCCGGCAGAAAGTTGGTGGGTGTTCTTGATGACTGGCTGTGGGTGCTGTTGTTGGCAAACAGGCTACAGCTGTCTCTCTCCTTTCTGTGGAGGATTACTCTGCTACAGGAACCTAGAATTCCTTTGTCTTGCTGGTGACTATCTTTGCCATCACGGCTTCTTTGAAAAGCAGTGGTTCTCAAGTAGCAGTGGTTTTTCCCCTACCCTTGTCCCGTCCAGGAGACATCTGACAATGTCTGGGCACATTTTCTATTGCCACCGCTGGCAGTACAGGAGTAGAGGCCAAGGTTGCTGCTCACCATTCTACAGTGCACAGGGCAGTCCCTCACTACCCAGCAAAAAAATTATTCAGCCCAAAACCTCAGTCATGCCCAGGCTGAGAAACCCTGTCTTATATTTATTTATTTTCTTATTTTGAGAAAGCTTGTCTTAACATAATCTTTTAAAATTATAGCTTGTTCATTCATTCATCCATCCATTCATTCATTAATTCACTCATTCAACAAATATTTATTGTTAAAATATAGAAAATATCCAACTACGAGACCATCCTGGCGAACACAGTGAAACCCTGTCTCTACTAAAAAAATACAAAAAACTAGCTGGGCGAGGTTGCAGGCGCCTGTAGTCCCAGCTACTTGGGAGGCTGAGGCAGGAGAATGGCGTAAACCCAGGAGGCGGAGCTTGCAGTGAGCTGAGATCCAGCCACAGCACTCCAGCCTGGGCGACAGAGCGAGACTCCGCCTCGACAAAAAAAAAAAAAAAAAAAAAAAAAAAAAAAAAAAAAAAAAAAATATCCAACTAGTCCTCTTTCTCTGTGTTGGTGGATTGTTTCATTCACATAGTAAGTTATGTATTGAGCATCTATTCCATGCCAGGCACTGGGGTCTGGAACAATATAGTCTAGGTCTTCCCTCATGTAGGGTTTAAATTCTACTGGAAGGGAGGCAAGAGTCCAAACAAGTTGACAAATAAAAGAAGAGGATCATTTCAACTGGCAGTAAATACAATGGAGAGTATAAATGGGGTAAAGGGAGAGAGAATGGCCTGGGTTGCAGTGGCTGTGCAGGGTGCTACTTTCAAGAGTGGGGCTGGGGAAGGCTTCTCTGTACAGGTCATACTGAGGCTGAGACCTGAAGGAAGCAGACTGTCAAAAATTGGGAAGAGGAGTGTTCAAAACAGAAGGAGCAACATGCTCAAAGGCTCAAGACAGGGAAGGCCTGGGTAGGCTCAAGGACCAGAAACATACATGGTGCTGAAGCTTGGGTGGAGGAGGTGAGGTTGAAGGAGGAGGTGAGGGTAATGGATGGGCAGGAGTCAGACAGTGCAGGGCCTTACAGACCTCAACGACGAATTTAGACTGCACTTCAGGTATAGCAGGAAGCCGTGGGAGGATTTTAAGCTAGGTTAGACATGATCTGGTTTAGGTATTTCTTGAGTCCACCCAGTTTAGATGACAGAGCTAAGAATAAAGATGGAAGAAGTATGTTCAAGGTAAAGTCCCAGACTTGCTTGCATATGATCCATGACTCAGTCAAGCAAGCTGCCAGCCTTGGCTTTCTCATCTCTCGTTACTGCTGGTCCTGAGTACCTTTGCTCTGCATCCTTAGTGTGCTCAGTCTTTGAGCCAGTGCTGACAATCCCAGCATGTATGGAGCTCCATTTCCCCCAGCACTGAGGGTTGGAGATCAGTCTTGCTGCCTCATGTGCACCATCTGTGCCTGGTCAGACCCTCCTTAATGCTAGCTGAGCTTTCCCATTGGGAAGCTTCCTGGTCTGTAGTGAGCATGCTTTTCCTATTCCTTAGCTGGATTGACATCTTCCTTGAATATCAGACTTCTGTAGTTGCCTAGTTGCCCAGGATCCTGCCTGGCAATTTCAACTTCTGTCCTGATGTATAACACCCTTGGGACCAGGAGGTGGCATCTCCTGACTCTGAACTTATAGCAGCCCCCATGCTGCTTAGAGTAAAACCCAAATTTCCATCCAGCCCTTGCTAACCTACTCAAGAGTCTCCTTGTACCATTCCCTCCTTGGCTCACAATAATCCGCCTTTGGGATTTACCAAAATCTTTTGTTCCTCGCTCCTTTGTTTTTGGGGGTCTCCTTGTGTTGAATTCTCTCCCTTTAGTTTCTTGCTTCCTTCATGTTCCAGCTCACATGATACCTACTCAGATAAACCTTCCCTCTTTATAGTTTCCCTACAGCATGCATTCTCAATAAGCATGGTATCACCCTAGTGGGGTGAACACTGGCTCTTGGAAGATAAAAAAATTACTCTGTTAATATACAAAATACAGACATACATACAGGACATAAACACACACATACTTGCACATACACACACATGGTAGTAAAACTTCATGAGTTTATTGATTAGGCAAAATAATATCTAAAAAGTCTCTTTAGAGGAGCAACAATGAAAAATAAGTTAAGCAACATTGCTCTGTAGAGACTAAGTCTCCCCTTTCCTGTCACCAACATATATCCTAATTTATCTCCTTCTAAGAACTTATTATGACAGGCAACTACCTTGCTTATTGTATTTCAGTATTTCCTATCTCCTCCTACTCCTCTGAATGCAAACTCCATGAAGTCTTGGGATCTTGGCCATCTGTTCATCGTTGTATCTCCAGCATTTGCTCAGTACTAGGCAAACAGTAGTTGTTCAATAAATATCTGGTGATTCAATTACCATCGTAAGCAAGGGGTGATTTCAAATACTAGAAGAACCCACTGGGCCAAGTGGACTCCTCTTGGATTTTAATTCTCACTTAAATGCTGCCAGATTTGTTGGGTCCTTTTGGACACTGAGTTCAAGTATAAGTCACCTTCTCTGGCCCATGGTCAAGTTAATCTCTTACCTTTTTTCTTGATGATTCCCAGTTTTCTCTCCTTCCTAACCACTGAGAACCCAGTAACCAGGTAGCCCAGCCCTTTCCCTATTCCATTGAGATACGATAGTGAATACCATATGGGTGTCTGACTCACTGAATTAAAAACATTTAAAGAAAATTATAGCAATAGGCTAGCTGTATTGGCAATTACACAGCAGAAGGCATGCACAATTATCTGATTTGATTTAGCACTAAATTGAATCACAGCGAGCATCTGCAATAGAAAAAAGACTGGAAGGAAGCAAACCAAAATGTTAACAATGTTATCCTTCTCTGGAATGTGGACTTGCAGTTTATTTTCTCCTTAAGTTTCTGGTTAATTGAGGAATTTCTGTAATGCGCATTTATTTTATCTTAAAAAACAAACAAGGTTTTTGGTGGCTAAAGGTTTTAAGTCCATCCATGACACTGCAGTATTAAAGAGAGATATAGGCACATGCCTGGTCCATTGATCTAGGACCAGTTGTAGTTGAATATACAGTGACCCCCAAAGAGCCTTTCTAGTGGTATTTCTGTGCTTAGAGAAGCCACTGGATTTGGACCAATGTAATCATTTAGGCAAACAGACACAGCCTTCTTGCCAGAAGCACACCCACTAGAACTTTCATACTTGTTATTTTTTTAAAAGATATTTGTGACCTGCAAAAGTACAACAAAGTAATTGTACCATAAGGCCCTTCCCTCAGACAAAATGCAAAACAATAAAAAAAAAATTCCCACATATTTTAAAATATTTTTCAGGGGCTTCATGGCTCCCTGAAGCCAAGGTTACAAAATCCTGACTTAGGTTTCTTAGTGAAATGCCTCTTAAAATCCAGGCCACATCTCTTCATTTCTTCTACTAGCTGCCATTAACTGATTTACCAACTGCCCAAACCTTCCCCTTACTTGAAGGATTTTCTAGACCCTGCCTCCTCCTAGCAAGGGTCATATGAACCAATACAAGCAGTTCATGTTTCAGTATCCTTCAAGGCTCCATTAGGGATTCTGAATGTCCTTGTGATCAAGGAATGCTTTCAAATACTATAACTTTTGGAAGATCAACTAACAAAAAGACTCAATTCAACATTAGACCCAACAATTCAGTAGTAATGCCAAAGTCCATGGTGATAGCTAATATCTCAACGGGGCTCAAGGCATCCAGCTGAGCACACAAATCTTTTCAACTCAGAGCCACTATCTGCTCTGACATTGATCTCTTATGTACTCACAAGGTGACAATAATATATGATGCCTCAACAATGTACACACGCTCTTGTAACCACACCAAATTATAGACATCCATAAAAATTTGGTGGCCTTACCTGGGAAAGGTTCATATCACAAATTGTGTGATGAGGCACATGGTTTGCAAATCACCAAAGAACTTAAAGTATTTCCTATATCCAAAGTACTATTCTATGGTACAGGTGACTTTTAGGACCCTCATTTAAAACAAACTCATCTGGGAAAAAAATCATTTAGTAGAAGATTGTATTTGGCTGCCCAAACCTTCCTGAGTTAAAGAGTTTATCTTCAGAGGAAAAGCGCCATTCTTACCTCCTCCAGAGCCCACAAGGAGTCCACCACAGGCTTGATCTTCTTCTGGTTGTAGAGCCCTATGAGTTTTTCCACCACTCCCCGAATGAGGCCCGCCCGGCCTTGTTTGAAGAGCAGATTTAAAAGGGAAAACCCTGCGATGACTTTGTTCTCCTCGTACAGCTTGATGGGGTTCACCTTCTCCACCTGCCACCACTGCAAAGAGAGGTGGTATCAGGTTATAGGAACTCAATACCAGGATTAAGGCTACATTTGCAGCATTGCTGATGTCATCAGCAACTACAGGGGGAGCATGGGGCTGCAGCTTAGCAGACTCCGCTGGCCAAAGGGTTGCTCTTGGTGGTGAATTTTATTTTTTATTTTTATTTTTTGAGATGGAGTCTCGCTCTGTCACCCAGGCTGGAGTGCAGTGGCATGATCTTAGCTCTCTGCAACCTCTGCCTCCCAGGTTCAAGCAATTCTCTGCCTCAGCCTCCCGAGTAGCTGGGATTACAGGTGCCCACCATCATGCCCAGCTAATTTTTGTGTTTTTGGCAGAGACGGGGTTTCACCATCTTGGCCAGGCTGGTCTTGAACTCCTGACCTCGTGATCTACCCGCCTTGGACAGTGGTGTATTTTTTTTAAAGCATCTATTTTGCTAGGCACTGTTGCAAGTACATGGGAAGCAATAGATAGTGATGCTTATGAGACGCTCAGGTCTAAGTGGGAGAGAGAGACCAAAACTAACTACAAGGCCACATGTAGTTGAAACATTAAGTACATGGTCAGGATCATCAGCTCCGGAGTTGAACTGTGGCTCTACAATGTTCTGTTATTAAGTGTAAAGCACTCAGCTCAGTTGAAGGGTGGTGGCGATGATGGGGTTGTTAAAGTAAGTAGGATGGCAGAGAAGTTTACACAGTGTGGTGGGGGACATGACTGAGGTGGCCTCTCTGACTTCAGGAGCAGCTTTCCTGGGGGAGTGGTTATGACAAGGCTAAATCTGGGGAGGTGGGTAGGAATCCATTGGATAAAGAAGAGGGAGGAGGGGTGATTTAGGAAGAAGGGACAGCATGAAGAAATGATGAGGTCAAATTGTTGGGACTGAATCAGTGGTTCTGAACTGGGGGTAGTTTTGTCCCCCAGAGGGCGTTTGATAGTATTTGGGGATTTTTGTTTGTGATGACGGAAGTGGGAGGCGGTGCTACTGGTATCTAGTGGGTAGAAGCCAGGGATGCAACTAAACATCCCACAATGCTTAGGACAAAGAATATTCACAGCAAAGAATAATCCACAACAAAGAATTACCCAGCCCCAAATATCCATAGCACTAAAGCTGAGATGCCCTGGACTAAAATTCTGGGTGAAATACCTACAAACTATTCAGTGTGGCCATCTCTTTTCCAGTCTCTCATCTCCTCCCTTGAAGTATCAAAATAAGTAAATAATCCACTAGAAACCTAGAGAAATGGGGATCCAACTGCTTTGTTGTGATTTAATTGCTTTTCCTTTGGTGCTGGTTATAGGTTAGAAATCCAAATGTCCAGTTTCTGGGGGATTCTAGGAGATAAGATGTTCAATATCATTTCAACACAGGATGCAAAGAGGAATGTGATGGGCATTTAGAAACATTGATAGTATTTATGTTATCATTGAGCTCATTTATATCCTCTTTCCAAAAAGAATTAAAGAGACTGACTAAAGTGAAAATTTTTTTTTTTTTTTTAAATTGGGAAGCTCATGTCATTAGGAGAATAAGCGTGGAAAAGATAGGGTGAAAACAATGATGAGGTTCATATAAAAAATTATTTACAAAAGCACATTTGGAGAGGGCTGGGGGACCAAGAAGAGCCACGCATTTGACCTTAGGTTTCTTGGCTTCCAATTTTTATGGTCTTACGTGGCAAGGGTTCGTGGCACAGATGGTGTGGTGAGGCACGTGGTTTGGAAACCACCAAATAACTTAAAGTATTCCTTACATCCAAAATACTATTCTACAGGACAGTGATTTTTAGGACCCTTGTTGAAAACAAACCAACTTGGGAAATACAGCAAATATAGAAAAATAATAACTTGACTCACAGTGTATCTGCAATGCCTCAGTGAATGTTTGTGGAATGAATGCTTGCTGCAAATGTACACTTGCTGCACAGTTGTGGTTAAGAAGGTTATAGAGCTGAATGCCTAGTTTTGAATCTCAACTTTGTCACTCATGAGCTGTGTGACTTTAGGCAAATCTCTTAACTTCTCTGTGCTCAGTTTCCTCACTGATCCCCACGGGGTGGTTATGAGGAGTAAATGTGTTAATGCATATGAAGTGCTTAGCATCGTGTCTGCCACATACGAGGTGCTCTATAAACATACGCCATTTTTCTTATCTTAATTTGAACAAGATGTTTTTGGTTTAGTGAATAAGAGCTTCAAATATGGAGTCAGATTGCTCTGTAAATGTTATCTTCCTCTATAAGTATCATCATCGTTATGGTGTGAAAGAAAATGGCATGTTTGGCAAATAGTGAGGCATAAACTCTGCAGCAATTTTAAGATGCAACATCATTAAGATAGCTGAGTGGGAAATTCCTGTATAATTCCAGTCGACCTTTAATTTCTAAGCTTCTCTTGAATACATGCAAAATTTTTTTTTCTAGAACTTTTCAGAGCAAAGTTCCACCTCTTGGTAGGCCCTCTCTTCAGTTTTCTTCCAAATGACCCTTAGTGTTTGAGCAGGCCTCTGAAAGAAAACATCCTCATTCTTGACCTCCAGGTACAAAGCGTTCTGGTAATAGGAACCCCTGCTTTGGGCAGAGGAATCTCCATTTCCATCCTGGCTGTGCAGTTATGAATGCCTTCGTTGAGCATGGGCACGCTGCAATTATTTCATTAACAGTGTGTGTTGGGATTGTGCATTTAGGGGAGAAAGGGAAAACACTTCTTACAATTGTATGTAATTTGGGACCAGTGTGGTTACCCACAGCAGTCTGTCAACATCATGTTAATTACAGTCACAGCAACACAGCAGCTGTGCATGGCACAAAGCCTGTCTTCAGGGGACACACTCCAGACAGCATCCTTCATTATACTCCATTCTTACTCCTCCTGTAGGTTCTGTAGTCAGGATGATCCTTGACCCATATTTTAAAGCCCAAATGCATAGAGAGGACCTTTGATTCAAATCTCACAAGTGCAGGGAGTTATTATCCATTCCAGAATGTTTGGAGCTGAAGTTTCTGGCAGCCAATGTTGGCACTTTGAGAGCATATGAATACCCCATAGTGCCACACTTAGAATGAATTCCAAACTCCTTACCATATTTTTCCCTGACCACTTTGTTTTAATTGCCTCCATCTACCCTGCTGTCTTCTATTTTAGCACTCGATTTTTATCCCCTTCAGAGGTTTAGTAGCCATATATAATCATGTTATTAACACATCTTGCTTATTTTGGGTTCGTCTCCCTCATTAGTATGTAAGAACCAAAAAGGCCCAAAGTGCACCAATCTTCTTTACTGTGATAGCCCGGTGCTTGGCACAATACCACAAACAGCAAGTGCTCAGAAAATGCTTGTCAAGTGAGTGGATCAATCGATGCTGCACTGGCACATAGAAGTCCAAAAGTAGAGGGGGCTAAAACAAACCCTTGTGAAAAGTAGCAATCCCCTGTCGGGAAGGCGTAAAAATGAAAGTTCCTGCCATTTGACCCAGCAGTCCCACTACTGGGTATATATCCAAAAGAAAGTAAATCGTTCTATCAAAAGGACACATGCACCTGTATATTCATTGCCATTCTATTCACAATAGCAAACACATGGAATCAACCTAGGTGCCCATCAATGGTGGACTGAATAAAGAAAATGTGAGACATATACACCATGGAATACTATGCAGCCATAAAATAGAATGGAATCATGTCTTTGCAGGAACATGGATGCAGCTGGAGCCCATTTTCCTAATGAAATTAATATAGAAACATAAAACCAAATACTGCATGTTCTCTCTTATAAGTGGGAGCTAAACACTGGGTACTCACGGACATAAATATGGGAACAATGAACACTGTGGACTACTAACAGGGACTGGGAGGGGGACAGGGGTTGAAAAACTAACTATTGGGTACTATGCTCACTATCTGAATGAGAGGATCATATGTACCTCAAACTTCAGCATCATACGATATACCCAGGCAAAAAACCTGCACGTGTACCTCCTGAATCTAAAAAGCTGAAATTATTTAAAAAAAATACCTTGGAATGTGCAAAGAAAAAAATAAGGAATATTGGCTGGTGCTGGGGTATTGGTGGTTCATTTCAAAGAAGAGAAGGAATTTGGACTGGGAAAGGAGTGCTGAAATGATATTTTAATTTAATTTAATTTAATTTTAATTTAATTTAACTTCATTTTTAGATGGAGTCTCGCTCTGTCACCCAGGCTGGAGTGCAGTGGCACAATCTCAGCTCATGGCAAGCTCTGCCTCCCAGGTTCACGCCATTCCCCTGCCTCAGCCTCCCAAGTAGCTGGGGCTACAGGTGTCCGCCACCATGCCTGGCTAATTTTTTTTGTATTTTTAGTAGAGACGGGGTTTCACCGTGTTAGCCAGGATGGTCTTGATCTCCTGACCTCGTGATCCGCCCGCCTCAGGCTTCCAAAGTGCTGGGATTACAGGTGTGAGCCACTGCGCCTGGCCGAAATGATATTTTAAAAATTAAGTTTGGCCGGGTGCAATGGATCACGCCTATAATCCCAACACTTTGGGAGTATGAGGCAAGCCGATTTCTTGAACCCAGGAATTCGAAACCAGCCTGGGTAACAGGGTGAAACCTTGTCTCCACCAAAATAATAAATAAATTAGCCAGGTGTAGTGGCAGGCACCTGTAATCCCAGCTACTTGGGAGGCTGAAACAGGAGGGTTGCTAGAGTTCAGGAGGTGGAGGTTGCAGTGAGCCAAGATCACACCACTGCACTCCAACCTGGGTGCAGAGAGCTAGACTCTGTCTTAAAAAGGTTCAAGCGCACATTAGTATAATTCTAGCAAGTATAGCTCCAGATAGGAAGATAGATAGGAGTCAATTCATAGTGAGGTGAATGCCCAGGGATATTGCTTCACAATGGCTGACAAACTAACCACCATATTTAAAGCCAGATCACCCAAGAGAGTCGTTCATGAGCTTGCCCAAGTCTACAAGTCACCCCAGAATCTTGTTAAGGTCATAGGGTCCTCATTTCTATCTCCAATTCAAGAGGATGAGGACACAGAGAAATCTCCAGTACCCCAGAGACCTAGTCAGAAAGTGGCAAAGTGAAAGGCTGGCCTCTCTATGGAGCAAAGAAAATGCGCTAATGCTAAGTTCATTTTTGACCAATGATTAAAGACACCAACACTTAAGCAATTTTGACTGAAAGCTGAAGCTTTCTTGAGTTTCACTGACACTCCCACGTTTCTGTTTCATTTAGACAAAAGTAGTATAAATTCTGGTCCTGTCCATTTGCAGGGAGCAGGGCAGGAGTGCAGGCTTTATTGGAAATGAATGATGAACATGAAAGACAAGATTAAGTCAATGCCTTATGATAGAAGAGCTCACAGCTGGGTGTGGTGGCTCCCGTCTGTAATCCCAGCACTTTGGGAGGCCGAGGTAGGCAGATCACGAGGACAGATTGAGACCATCCTGGTCAACATGGTGAAACCCCATCTCTACTAAAAATACAAAAATTAGCTGGGCGTGGTGGTGCATGCCTGTAATCCCAGCTACTAGGGAGGATGAGGCAGGAGAATCGCTTGAATCAGTCGGAGGTTGCAGTGAGCCGAGATCATGCCATTGCACTCCAGTCTGGCAACAGAATGGGACTCCGTCTCAAAAAACAAACAAACAAACAAACAAACAGCTCACAACATGTGAATCAACATGCCACAACAGTACATCAGATGTGCCTGGATACTTACTGATTTTGCAAAGCTGAAGAAGCTCTTGGTCTCTCCAGTTACCATGTTGGATGAGCCTGAAAATGAAAGATTCCCTCATTAAGCAATTGCTAATGAAAACTGACATCTCTTGTTATGCATGAAAAAAATGGCAATTGTTTGGTCCGGAACTGGCAAAATCTTGAAAACAAATTTAATTAAGCCTTGGCAAAGTGAGGGGAATGAGAATGAGGCATCAAGTTGACTATTTTAGCTGAGTGTCCCTAATCAAAGAGAAAGTGACATTTCTCATGGTGACCGTTTCATTACTTTGAAAAATTGGGCATGTAGCAAAAATATGATGTAGGCCAACATTTGAATAAAATATGAGTTGCCAAAATGTCTCTTTAGGTCTGTTCTTTGAGACTGAGAAGGGAGCTCCTTAGTGAACCTTTTTTGTGATTCTGAATTTGATTCCCTAGCAAATGAGGAGCTTGGGGCTCTGACCTGGGCTGGGTACCTAACTGGTGGGAGATGTGGAGCAGAGTTAGACTATAGATGGACTGGAAAAAATGGGTATAGAAGCTTGCAGATGAGAATGAAAAGAGGCCCAGGGACCAAGAAAATGGTGTGACCCATGTGTCAGCTCCAAAGAGGTCTGAGACAAGTGGTATGAGAAACAGTTTTGCCAATTGGACAAGCAATATTCAGAGGGCAGATGGGAGGTGGAGCTGGGAAAGATTCCCTGAGATTCTCATATGGAGAGAAAAGATCCTTTACAGGGTTTGGGGGCAGGGGAGAATGAGAGAGCTCTTAACAGTATGGGGAACATTCAAGTACCATACAGGTGCTTTTTCAACGACTTTCCTGCTTTGTCTCCAAAGATTTGGGAGTAAGTTCTTCTCAGAGAGGAGTTATTTAATAACATAATCATGTGTATTTTAAACTATTTAGCCTGGGTAAACTAGTAGCCAGTTACTAGGTTGGTGCATAAGTAATTATGGTTTTTGTCATGACTTTTAATGCCAAAGACCGCAATTATCCTTGCACCAACCTAATAGCGAACCATTGCTTCTGTTTTTGTGGGGTGAGTACCACAGGGCATCACAGTACTAGACTTCGATCAATTAGTGACCAAGTGAGCAATGTAACGAATTAGATAATTGTGAACTACTCAAATTGAATAATCAAGTTGCATTTCACCAAAATGACATCATGAAACTGGGGCAAAAATAGAATTATTGGTAAGTGATAAGTAAGGATGACTACATCATCCATCTGCATTTGACTTACGTGTTAGTCATATCCGATATCCTTGCAATGTGCAGTGACTCTCATTGATAATAATAAGCTACACATCCACTTCAAAGGAAATACATGGCCATGATTGAAATTACTGGAACACTCCAGCAATGGGATGTTTACCTGCCTCTGGTGAGCTTGGCCTTCTTTCTGTTACAATGATCTGAAGATGACAAAAAGATGCTTGCATATTTATACCCCTCAAATATTTATTTTATAAGCTCTACAGGTAATAGCAGAGAATTAGTGTTTTTTTCTGAGTTACCCAGAATTAAGACTCTTCTATTGTACCAACAGGGGACGAAGGTACCAAGAATCTCAAACGCTGGATAAATCCAATATTGTTTAGTGTCCGAATATGCCATTTAGCTTCAAATACTCCTACTTTAGTTTGTGGAGACTAATATTTAAATTAGTTTGCATGCTTATGACAGAAGAGAAGAAAAAGAAGAGAGAAAGGAGGCCTTGGAGCCTCATTTTGCTGGAGAAAATCTTCTCCCGGTTGTTTTTCATACATCTCTTCCACTCCTAAGAGCATAGAAGTGAATGTAGAAAGAGATGGAAACGGACATGAGCTCCATCTATCCAGAACTTCTGTCTTGAGTGGGACGCTCAGGAGTAGTTTAGGGGAAGAAGAGTGTGTACTTCGCAACTTCTCGAATAGTGAAGATCCTCCCTTAAAACCCGCATATCCTAGCCACTCTTCCCCATCCTACTGTGGGTCCTTCATGCCTTCTTTATTTCTGAACTTCCTTTGAAGACCTTCCTATTTGCCACCTGTGCTACCTTCTACGGGTGATGCCCCATAATTCTACTCATATCAGTGACCACATTGGCTTGGTCTTGCTTTATCCCATTTGAAATAATAGGACCTAGGACAGTAGGCACATGTTATTTTACAATTGAAAAGAATTCACAGCAATAGAAACATTATAGGAGACATTAACAAAATGAAACACCCCCATCCCACTATCCCAACATATCTGCACAATTCACTTTTCAGAGCCTTTGCAGGCTCATGTGCAGAGTTACCTCTTGCCGACCATGTCCCTGCTGCTGTTTTGCACTCACCGTATAAAATGTAGGTTCCCAAGGGTTTGAGGAGACTGAGACCTTTTCCAGTGTTGTCCCCACAGAGGCAATCCAAAACAATGTCCACGCCTTCAGCAGAGATTCTAAATGGTGAGAAGGCAAAGCAAAATTCTGTGACCTGTCAGGAGCCAGACCGCCGATCCCTTTCCTTTCCTGTGTCATACTGTTTGACTACCAGATTAAGGAACCCTGAGAATTCCAGGAGTAGCAACAAATAGGGCAGGAGCCCAGGAGGTGGATTTATCTTCCCGGATCCAATGATAAAAATGTCACAAAACCGGAGGCAGCTAAGAATCCGGCTGGTAGCTGGCGCTGGGAATCAGCCTGGGCTGGAGGAATGAACTTGGGGTCAGTGGGTCTGAGTTTGTATCTAGCTCCTTTACTCAAATTCTCTAGCTTTGGCTTTCTCCTTTGTAATGTGGAGCTGGTATGTTTCTTTGTGGTAAGAATGAAATGAGGTGACAAAAGAGGAGGCTCAGGTTTGCCACAGAACAGTCATTCGGTACCTCCAGTTAGCAACTGCTATGTGCAGAGCAAGGGTTAGTTGCTAGCTCTGTTCAAGGTGCTGGAGGTAGGGTGAACCAAACCAGTATGCTCCCTGTCTTAGTGGGACTGCTTCTCCAGCAGGGACTGGCCTTCCTACCTCCTAACTTCCCTTTGCAGTGAAAAAATAAAGCACGTTAATCTAACTTGCAAGCTTCTTCTCTTCCTCCAATGTCCAGGTCTAACCTAAAACTAATGCTAAGAGGAAGAGGGTTAAATAGAGATGAACTTCCTCCAGCAATAGGAGGCTGTGGAGTAGAAAGAAGCCACGTTTGTACTGCATTAGACAAAGCATTTGTTGATCTCTTCTATTTATTTATACATTCATTGATTCACTCACTTACTCAATAATGCATATAAGCAACTTTTACTGGGCTCCCACTGTTAGAAGATATACAGGAGGGGCCTACAGAACACAAAGGCTCTGGAGATTGTGGGGAAGATATTCATGCCCACAGAGATCCTATTCTCGCAGATCCCTGCTCTGTTCGGACAAGAATGGCATTCCTTGTGTTTGCAAGTTTGCAGGATTAACTTATCTTGGCAAATATCTCAATTTTTCTACCCCCAAGTTCACCCTAGCAAAATTTAGGCATTGCAGCGTGTGTCAACAGCTGGGTCTTGTGTCCACAGTGTCACTAACTAGGAAACTGCATGCACATCTCCTGGGTGCGGAGACTAAGTCAGCTTCCCCATGCAGCTGAGTCTTTATGTGACTGTGCCCTTCAAAAGCCCTCATGTCATGTCCACAATCCAGCCCACTACCAAGGTGCATCCAAAATGATCAGCTTAGCTTCCTGCCTAATAGAGCTCTTATCTGCACAGGGGTGTCCTCTTAAGTCTCACCTGAAAGTTCAAAACAAAGGAATTAGGACAGTGGATCTCAAACCGAAGTGTGCACTGTAATAACCCGCAGGGTTTATTAAAACGAAGATTGCAATCCTCCCCTTCTTCTCCGATTCTGTAGGCCTGTGATGGGGGTTTGCATTTCTAATGTTTGTTTCCAGGTGCTGCGGCTGCTGCTAATTCCAGCTCCACACTCTGAGAATTACCCATCTAAGCCAGTTACGAAGGAGCCAAACTGGCACTTCTTATTTTGTTTGTTTGTTTTACAAGTTAACTAATTTGTTCTGTAAATATCCAGCAGTGGGCACCGCACTAGGCACGGGAGGATGTAGTGTATTGCTTTCTCCTCTTTTTCGAGCGTATAAAAGGCAGATATTCAACAATAATTATGCAAATAAATGTTAAGTTGAAATGTGGTCTCATGCCACTAAGGGCATGAATTGTGTAAATTGAGAATTTTCCCAATCAGGGCTATTAGAGAGGCATCCCTGGGGAAAGGAAGGAGTTAAGTCGGTAAAGAGTGAAGGGAATAGTGTCCTAGGTAGAGGGAATAGCATGTACAAAGGCCCTGTGGTCGAGGAAGACTGGGAAGCCGCCAGTGTGGGTGGAGTATGAAAACAAAGGGGTGCTTGCTTTGAGGTTGGGCTGGAGAGGCAGGTGGGAGTTGAATGACATGACTCTTGGTTGCTGGGCTTCAGGTTGGTGGTCAGGTCTTCACCTTGCATTAGGGGCTGGGTAATTGTGCTCCTGTCTCCCTCACTTCTGCCAGGGTCTCTTTTCTGCCACATTTGCTCACTCTTGTGGGAGTGGGATCCTGCTCTGTTTTTACCAGCCAGCCCTCCTGAGCCACCAAGTCATCCCAGTGAACTGCATTTCCCCAAGACCTCTCCCCTTGCCAGCAGGACGCCCACCTGAGGTCAGAAGCAGCCTCACCAATACTAGGCCATGCATACCTCCTGCTGTACCCCTGATGGGTCTGCCCAGCCTTGAATTTTCATCCTCTGATGCTTCTCACATCTGCATTCTAGTTGGCGGGCCACATTCTCTCCCATGAACTGCCAGTCATATCTCCTTGTATTAGCCCTACCTTGACCTGTTGCTCTGTCTGCTGGACTGTGGTTCTGCAGAAAAGCAGGGCATGTCCATAGCCAGCAGTGGCCTATAAACTCCTGTGCACTTTCCCATCTTCACCTCCCACCCACAGCTCAAGGCATTTGGCCTTTTGATTGTCCCTAGAACTTTCTGACCTCAGGGCCTTTGCATGTGCTGTCATTGCTGCCTGGACAGCCTTTCCTCTGCTCTCCTTAGAGCTGGCTCCTTCTCATCCTTCAGATCTCACTCACATACTATCCTCCCAGAGGAGCTGTAACTAATCACTCCACCTGAAACGTATCTCCATTTTAGTTTCCTTTATACTTTAGTGTCTACACTGGAGATACTTTTTAGCACGTACCATAGGTTATAATTATTTATTTATTGACTTTCTTTTCCACCAAAATTTAAGCCCCATGGAGCATGTTTGTGCTGCTTATAGTATCTGTAGCCCTTCTCTTCCTGCTGAATATAGTGTTGCTTCTCAAGAAATAGTGATTGACCAGAGGAATGCACAAGTGTTTCAATGACTGGATAACTGAATGAATGAAAGACGATGAAGAAAACAGTTTAAGACTGCTATTCTGTGTCTCTATATGTGCACTTCCTTGGAAAGGAAACTCATATTTCAGAACTCTCCTATATAACAGCTATTTTGTAATTAACCCTCACAAAAAGTCTATGAGGCAGGCATTTTAACTCCACTTTTTAAAAAGTGAAATCAAGGCTTACAGATGTAGCAATCTTGCCCAGGCTTACGTAACTAGCACAGCTGGAATTCAATTCTAGGCCTAGTTTAACTCCAAAGATGATGGCCTTTTCACCACTCTGAGTTTAAGACTTTAATAAATGTTCAAGCCAGTGTTAAGTATGGAAGCATCACTTTAGCAAGCAGCTCTGAGAAGCAGGCAATTTAATTTAGTCTTTGAAGAATTCAGGCTTAAATTTTGTCTTGAGATAAATACACATGCATTCAGAGTCTGATTACATTTGATCAAAGTTTGGCCTGGATCAAATATCTAGACCAAAAAATTTCTCTTTTCAAGCTGGTTGTCCCCCAGAGTTTATAGGAGAGACCCAAGTTCAGAGTCCCACAAATTTACCCTTAATTTTCAGCCACTGGATAACCATTTTCTGAGTGTTTACTGCATGCTAGGCACTGTGCATGCTGAGTTGGGAATACACAGAGAAGGCGGAAGTTTGCCATGACCATCCAGGAGCTCATGGGCTACAAGATGAGACATCTATAAATGGATCAAACACAGAGTGATCACTGCTCCAATAGAGCAACTTGCGAGCATTGGAAGATGACCCTCTGTTGAGGGTTGGCAGCAGAGGGAACCAGAGGGAACAGGATGTGCAAAGCCCTATGGTGGGAGGAAGACTGGGAAGCAGCCAGTGTGGCTGGAGTATGAAAACAAAGGGCCGATTGCTTTGAGGTTGGGCTGGAGAGGCAGGTGGGAGTTGAACCACACGGACTCTTGGTTGGTGGGCTTCAGGTTGGTGGTCAGGCCTTCACCTCGCATTATGGGCTGGGTAATTGTGCTCCTGTCTCCCTCGCTTCTCCCCGGGTCTGTTTTCAGAGCAGAAATTGGCCAGGTGACAAAGGGAAGGCACTTCTCAGAGAAGAGTATCACAGCTTGACCTAGGACAGTGAGAAGGCTTTGGGACGCTAACCATGGCAATGAGGAGGCCCGGCCACTGGCTCCTTCTAGAAGGACCCTAAGACTGGCTATCACAACCAGCAGCTAACATGGAGGTGGGTAGGCAGGGGAGACGGGTGGCTCAAGGGCAACACAGCACTGGGCTTAGGAATATACATTTTATATCAGTGTTAAGCATTCAGTTCTGCTACTTACATGCTGTATGACCTTAGGTGAGTTACTTAGCCTCTCTGTGCCTCAGTTTCCCCAACTGTGTAAGGGGATGATGGTGATAACACCTACGTTTTCTTTATGAAGCTTGAATGAATTGATGCAAATGGAGCACAGAGCCCAGCTCATGGTAAGCTCTGGGTCCATGGTAGCTTTGACTGATTACCATTTTTCAAAATGCCCCAACTTCAAGTCTTTTGGTTGGGAAAAGGGCATGAAAAGAAAGAGTATGCAAAACCTCTCCAACTCAACCTTCAGGGCGGGTGGAGACACCAGCCCAGAAATTACTAGAGTTGAGGCTTGATGCTCTTGACCTTCCGAAGAGAGTGTGCCACACTCTTGAGCGCTTACTATGTCGCAAGTAGAATGCTAAGAACTTCCTAAGTGTTTCATCATTGAGACTGGGTCTTGCTCTGTGGCCCAGGCTACATTTATGCCTCATGTCGATCCTCTGACTCTGGGGCCATCATTATCCCCATTTGATGGACAAGGAAAATGAGACTCAGTGAGGTCAGGTGACTCGCCCCAGGGCCCACTGCATAGAGTGGGAAGACCTTAGTTTGTTCCATCACATCTAGAAACCAGGCAAGGGCATCAAAGGCAAAGTAGGGTTTCGTAGGGTAAGTAGTGGCCAACCCCGAGGCGACCACCACTGTCACTTCTATGCCATGCAGGTACCTGGCAGGGATGAGCAAAGCTGGGGGGTGCTTCCTTGGGCTTAACACTAG